TAACTCTTAACCATTGGCATAATTTCATGAAGGTCTTAGGTCACATACGAATAATATCCCATCACAGTTCCGAATGCACAAGATATAATAGCAACTGAGATCGATGATAACCTTTTTCAAAACCTAACAAGTTAGTGTTGTTATTGGTGGTAAACATCATATCTTGTTAGACAAATGTCATCTAGAGGGGGTGAATATATGCACAAATTAAAATATATGTCAAATTAAAAATTTATTTGTGAGTCAATAATTTGTTTGAACACAGATAAAGCGAAAGCGATAATATAATCAGGAAACGAGAAAGAGATAAGGGAAAGAGAAGAGCACACAAAGATTTATACTGGTTCGGATATAGCCAACCCTACATCCAGTTTCCAGTCAACTCTTAACACAAGAGTGACTCCCAATTCACTATCTTTCAAATTCAGTTTACAAATTACAATCAACTCAGCAGAAGAACCAGTAACAAGTAAACTAATTAAAAAGACAATCACCTCCTTAGAAACCCACTAAGGATGAACACCTCCCTAGAATCCCACTAGGGATGAACACCTCCTCTGAACAAATCAAATGATGAAAAACACCTCCTTAGAATCCCACTAAGGATGAACACCTCCCTAGAATCACACTAGGGATGAAAACCTCCTTTGAACAAATCAAAGAATGAAAACACCTCCTTAGAATCTCACTAAGGATGAACACTTCCCTAGAATCACACTAGGGATGAAAAACACCTCCTTTTCCACCAATACAAAAAGGATGAAGGTAATAAAAAGAAGAACAATCACACCTGGTTAATGGAGACAACAAATTGTAGAAGCCTGTAGAATGCCAATGTCCAAGAACAAGTGTGATTAACAATGAAAGCACAGAAGGCAGTAGAGAAGAGGGTTTTCTCAAAAGATTTAAAATATCTTTGTTGCCTTGCACATAATTCTTTTCTCAAAACTGATTGAATGTAAATTGTATGTTCGAATTTTGTAATTGTGTGTTTTTTATTTTTCATCAAAACTTAATTAAATAGAAAAATAACATTAGAAAATGGTCGTTGGACATTAATATTTTCATGAATAAAAATCGGGATATATTTAAAAACATTTATTCTTCAAAGAAGATATATTTTTCAAATTTGTATTGCCATAATTGATTATGTTACCAGTATAATCAATTATGACAGATAAAATCATTTTTCCATTTCTGATGCATCATAATTGATTATGACAGAGAAAAATATCATGTTATGAATTTTATCGCACTTGTGTTTTGGAGGCTTATGCATAATATTACTTCACCAACTTGTACCTCCATATCCAGTATTCTAAGACTCTATCTAGTCTTCAGGAATCATCTTGGGCTTGCTTGAATCATCATCTTTATCAAAAACATATCTTGGGCATGTAGGAAAATGTTTCACATTGTCACCAACGTCATAAATTCAGCTTGTCCTTAATTCATCTTGAATGGTGTTGACTTGAATGTAGTTGACTTGAATCATCATCAAAATCATCTCTTGGGAATGTAGGGACATTTCCATCAATCTCCCCCTCATTGCTTTCATATCTAGCATATATAATGCTTGGGAAACACTACACAGTATCGTTAGTGCCCCAAGTTTTACACTTTCTTGTATTTGCTCTTGAGCATGACATATGTTCATGTCCTTAATGTATGTCATTTTACTTTATATTTCTTAATCTAAAAGCATTTTTGAAGCTAATTATTTTCTTCATAAACCATGCATTTAACATGTTTTCATAAAAAGCATATCATAATTCATTTTTTCTTAATTTATTGCATTTTGCATAGTTTTAACATAAAAAATAATATACATTGTCGCCGCTATCAAAAGAGGCGGTCGGAGCGACACGATAATTTTGATTGACTCATGTTTTTTAAAGAAGATGTTCAACGCCTTTAGGATTTCCAATAATCGAGCTGAACCTAAAGGTGAGTTTTCAAAAAGGTTTGATGGATTCGCCACCGATGTTTATACCGTAAACATAAAAAAAAGGAAAAAAAGGCATTGATTTTTAGAAAACCAACTTTGGTCATTACAACCAGAGTTGGGTAAGGGAGTTAGTTACGTGTGGGGAAGGTGTTAACACCCCACAACGTCCCTTTCTGGTTCCCTATGATGGACTAGTTTATAAAATAAAGACTAAGAAATTATGCTTTTACCCTATTTATTTTATCTACTTATAGAATTTAAATGTCTACATGATCCTAGAATCTAATGCATACAAGGAAAGTGATAAAAGAGAGATAATAGAAAAGGAACCTCCGAAGCGAGCTTTTATATTAACTCTTCCAAAAATGAGGACATTTTTTTGCTGTCCCCGCACTCTACAAGCACGCTTCTCTCCTGGAATAAAATAAACTACCCTTCTACCGAGTGTCGGATGTCTCAAAAGGAGACCTCCTTAACCGATTTCTACTTTAAACGGAAATCAAAAGGCTCTCGAACTGTAGAAAGTGCTCAGAGTTATCCCGAAGTCTTAAGAGAGCTTCTAGGATGAGAGAAGGGGTGAAAAACTGTGTGAATTGTGTGAAATAAGGGGGGAGACTCCTATTTATAGGAATTCGTGTCAGATAGGCGGGGACGACCGTATGGGCTTTTGACAGGCGAGACGACCGTCTGGGAAAACGAGATGACCATCTCGACCTTTAGGATGGCGAGATGACCATCTAGCCAAACGAGACGGTCGTCTCGACCTTCAGGGAAGGCGAGATAGCCGTCTGGCCAAACGAGACGCTCGTATCGAGCCTCGTGAAAGATTTTCCTATTTTTCCTATTTTTTTCTGTACAAAAAGTCCTCCTATCCTTACATGGAGCCTAGTGAGCATGCCTATGGGCCTAAAGAAGCCTTGTCCATCTTCAAACGGAGGTTTTCTGGTCTTTATTGTGAGGTCGGACAAGATTTGGGGTCTACATAATGCATATATCCATAGTGCATATTTATTTTTCTTCTTTTGTAGGAGAGGTAATTTGAGATGGGTCAAATTAATGAAAAGAAATGTTCAAATTGATGAAAAGAAATTCACTCTTCTTAGAAGCCCAACTTTGCTCATGTAGTCCACTTGCGGAACGTTACAAATAGAAATTTTGAATCAAGCAAATTAACTTGTGTGAGAATCCAATTTAGCTGAATTAAAGGCCAACAAGAATTAGAATTAAATGAAAATCAGTGCTGGATCACTCAAAATAGGAAAGAAGTAAATTTTTTCTCCATATTAGTCCCAAAAATTTATCTTCATAATAATCCAATTTTATAATTTTTTATTTAGGAAACATTTGGTTTTATTGTAATTAATTTTAGGTTTAATTTTTCTTGTTCAATCTCCTATAAATAAATGTCTTATAACAATACAATCATAATCTCTTACTCTATGGTGAACTTTTATTTTGTTTCGTTTCCATTTTCTTTTCTCACTCTCAATTTTTAGTTTAATTTTTAGTTAGTTGAGCTCATCTATTGTTAATGTTCTCTCCAATTTATTCTTTTTTATTTAATTTTTAATTTTTATTAAATTTTTTAGTTTATATTATTCTATTTATTTTATTTATTTAGTGTTTATTTTAATTTAATTTATTTAATTATTTAGAATTTTTATTTTATTTTAGTAGTGCTTAATTTTTATTTTTAATTCATTTTTTAATTCCAATTCTTAATTTAGTTTTAAAATGATTGTTGCAAAAATTTTAAATTTAATTATTATATTATTCTATTTTAAAGCCATTTTTATTTGATATTTTAATTAAAAATATTTATTTTAATTTTATTAATTTCAATTATTTAAATTTTGATTACTTTAATTTAATTATTATACTATTTTATTTTAAAATAATTTTTAATTTTACACTTTTAATTATTTTAAGATCTGAGTTGAGCTTCTTACAATTGATCTTCTATTCCCTGTACCTTTCCCATTTATTAGTTCTTTCTTATCCGAATTCACATCACTTGGAACTTTTTTTTTTTTTTTAATCGTGGCAACTTCTACTCATTCCAAAGTGTAATCATTATACAAAGGCCATATCAGATCAATCAATTGGATATAAAAATATAATTGCAACTCAAATCAATCGGGAGTTCTCTTTGAGATAAACTTTAGCTTCCCGAGACAAGTTCTTACCATGTATGTTACTGTTTGTTTTTTAAAGTAGTTTAATTCACGAGGGTTAGATGAATTATAGGTTCTACTACTATCTGGGAAAATAAATTTTAGGAATGAAATTACAAATCAAATAAAAAAAATTATCAAATTGTTTTAACTAAAACTTTAAAATATCAAATTTTATGAATTTATTTAATTTATATATAATTTAACTTTCTCGTTTTTATTTAAAATGTTAACTCAATTTTAACAATTTTTTATCAAATATCAACATAAACTCACCTATAGTTTATGTTATATAGGTTCAATAGAAAATCTTGACTATTCATTTTAGGTTCACCTTATATTTTATTATTAATAAATAATAAATTAATAAAAAAATCAAAATTATAAATATATAAATAAATATATTTAATAATTATTAAATTTAAACAAAATTATAAATATATATAAATTATAAAATTTTGGGAATAATAATGAAGCTCACCTTCGAAAAAGTTCCATCACTCATAAGCCTCTTTCCAAATAGTTCCTTTTGTTTATAAAGAAGGTGCTTGCTATCTGTCCTTTCTCATTTAGTTAACTAAATAGTATTTGTTGTTAAACTCAGAGCCAGTTGATTAAATAAAACTTTGATTTATGATTAAAAAAAAAGAGAAATACATAAAAATATATCATAACTTTTAAATATGAAAAAAAAATCACATTATATATGTAAATGACATACATCATACAAAAATATTTTCTGAAACATTAAGGACGGCAAATTACCAAACAAATGTTAACAGTGTGTCAAACATGGTGACATAAATGAAACTTTAACAAACAAATGAATGCAAGATTCCTGCTGGAAATGCATAATACAGTTTAAACCAAAGAACAACTCAATTCACGCTGCTGCACACTTTTCTGATCTGACCCTGCACGCCGGTGAGTGGGCTAAGGTTGCTCATCTTGAGCATGGCGTTAGAAAAATCGAATTTGAAGATTAACGGGAACGTGGAATAAACATTGACCTGAGAGGCCGTTAAACCGCCACTAAAGAGTTGTTGATCAGAGTGGAAAAGACCCTTTTTGTTAATTAAATTTGTGTAGTAAGCACTATCGAACACGTCTTTAGTGGTAATGTCTATGGGAGACAAGTTGCTATCACCACCAATCTCGGGGCAATTGGCCCTCATTAGGTTTGCATACGTGGGATCTATGTTGCTCTCGTTATAAATCCTTGATCGGAAGAGTACACACCTCCCACTGCCTATTGTGTGAGCACCTGTTCATCATGAACACCAAGTTTAACTAGTTGAATCAATCAATATTTGTCATGATATATACTACAACACATTCAAGAAATTCTCATAATATTTTTTTTTTGAAAGAATTTAATTGCAATTCATTCACAACGTAAATATTTTTTAAAATTGTATCTAAAATTACTTTTAATATATAATTGTATAATTTTGTTCACATTTGTAGCATCATATATGTTAGGTTAAATGCACAATCATATCATATATCATATATTAATAACATATTTGTCACATCACAGATATCATTATAAACATATATTTAAATGAAATTAAAAACAAAATTTGAAGAACTAAAATAAAATAATATTTGATATTTAAGTCTCTACTATATAGCAGAAATCTTCTAACGCATTGTGCATCTGAAAGATGCTTAGTTGCATGCAGAAATAGGTATCTACCTGATAAAGCCACCATTTCATTTACTGTGAAACCCTTCTTTTGGAAAGCAGTGATAAGGCCATTAAGATCCAGAAAGGGAGCTGGTAAATCAGAGTTAGCTCCACTTAAACTTGCAGTGGTTGAGTCCCTTCTGCCCAAGCTAACAGGCCATCCAAGTCCACCAAGCTGAGCATAATTTCTCACTCATCAATTTCACATCTCATGCATCTATAAAAATTTCTTCTAGTAACTTGATTATATAATTAGCCTTTCCTAACGCAATAGTACTTACAGCAACAACAGAATCCCTTGCAGCAACGGCTAAGATGTCAGCACAAGAGACAACGCCGGGGCACTCACGCTCTAGTTCAGCTTTTATGTTCTCTATGACTCCAAAACCCCTTAGAGAATTCACGTTTGGTAAGGCACCTTGTTCGCCCTTGAAACTTGCTGTGTCCACTAATAAAACCGATGCATCACATCCCTTCAAAATGCGACCAAAAATTACGACATGTTTTAATCAATCACTCTTTTTCCTTTCAGATTTTTGTGGTGTTTTGTTTCACTGATATCGATTTTATGCGTTCCTTCTATATAATCATTTGGCATGGAACAATTAAATTATTCTAATTAACAAAAATGTCACGTCCTTCTGTGAAACTGTCATCCAATTATTAATAGCAGCTAGTATTTTTACGTGGTTAACATTACAATGTGTCATAGCACGTTATAGAATTGATATTTTAATAAAAGTTAGAGCAGCACCAATATCGTTGTAATCCAACTTTTTCTCTCACGATCACCTAAATCAGAGAGTATAAAACATAATAAAAAATAATAATGCTATTTTTTAATAAGAAATAAATAGTTACGTTTACAAGCAACCGTGAAACCTATTTTAAGAAACCAAGAAGATAAGCTATCAGCAATGTTAATGCTAGCAACTGATACCTTTAATATATTTAAATACTTTATACAAATACATACAATGATTAGTACATTCAAATGAAAGAAAGTGACATTTAAAAAGATTGAAGTCACTGGCTATGGTGTCACACAGGTAAATTGTTGGTCACATAATTGAAGGACAAATAAGGTAATTAAACTATTATTTCAATTAAAAAGTTGAGGAATTTTTTTTATTGCAAAATATTTATGAGACTGAAATCATACAATTAACTAAGATTTCACTTGTCAAACTATTTCAGCTCTTGCATGCACAGGTAAATGTAAAATATAGGCAACTACATCAAATAAAAGATGTGCAAACGTAAAAAGTTTAATAATGGAGTTACTTGGACAAAGCAATCATGGAAATGAAGACGAAGCAAGGATGCACCCATGCGAGGCTCTATCGACACAGCATTGGTTACTTGTTTCTTAATGGTATCAAGGGCTTGGGGGCACTTGAAAGCATAGAAGAAGGGGTTTAACAGATAATTGGAGGAAGTGCCAGAACTAGTTGTTGATGATGAAGAAGTTGAATATTCTGAAGCTGAAACTATCCCAACAAGACATAAGAAAAAACAGATGTTGACCCTTTGGTGAGAACTTCCAGCCATGTTTGTAGGAATTCTCAACGTAGAGTGGAGAGAATCGGATGTTTGTGATACGTGTCTGATTTAGGTCATCATGAAATGTGTCGTCTATTTATACAACATGCTTACTTTTTATTGAAGTACAGTGAATGTCGTGGACATCATGATATCTTATTTTTTGAGATTAAATTCTGTTTTGGTGGTATGGTATTAGCTGTATTGTGCTAAACAAGTTGACTTCTTGATAGTTTGCAGATTTCATGGCGGATTTAGTTGCAGGCCACTGTGATAAATTAGCCACGCTTTGTCTAAGCATTTGATAATTTAGGTTAAAGAAATCTATTATATCCCTTTCACCGACAATTATATATATATATATATATATATATATATATATATATATATATATATATATATATATTGTTATTCTTCCCAATTTCAAATTGATATACCAAAAGTCCTTCATGTTATACTAGGAGAAAATGAAAAGTTAAATGTTGGATTGGTACGCCATTCATTCACACCAATTCCCGTGTCACGAGATAAATTTAAGTTCATAATTTGAACACTAAAATAATTCATTGTATTTGACATTTTTATGTTTCTATTTCTCTAATACATAAAATATCATTAACAATCGGCCTAAGCATTTAAGAAAAAATAAAAATCCTAATCTTGTATTTTGTATTCAAGTCAACATTTTCCTTTACATTTTTAAGGAAACAAAAAGAGGTTGATATATATAGACCAATTTGTCAATATAAACCTTTTAGTGTTGTTTATACTTCATATTCCTTAGAAAAATATACTGAATATATATATATATATATATATATGTATATATATATATATACATATATATATATGTACATTTATTCAAGAATAGTTATTTTGATCAATATTTTACGGATTAAAATAAAATATTTATCATTTACAATATTATGTTTTATCTTTTAAAATTAATGCTATGTTGAAAATAATGAATAATCTAAGTATTGGGCATATATTTATATATGTTTTGACTAATTGTTTATTCCAGGTATGTCGTAAAATAGACTTAAAATAGACTCTGATTTATATTAACTCAGTTTATAAAAATTGAAACTTCTGTGAGATATTTTTCATACATTGACTGGTTCACTTGTTTCTTGCCTCTTCCTTGTAAGTTATTTTTGTTGCAAACGTGCATAATATATTGCTCGATAATTGTGTGAAGGAGAATGAGGTTCCCGTTTTCATTTGATTTGTTCAGAACCAATTGTAAAAAATAATGCCCTGGATGATGTATCCATCAATGTTATATAATATATATATATATATATATATATATATATATATATATATATATATATATATATCAACTCTAAAAACACATAATTTATTTCATTCCAAATACATCATACAATGGATCACCACAAAATTTCCCATGCCTAACAATTAACTCAAGAAACCAAGTATTGACATGATGTGAAAAACACATTTTAGAATTTTCTGGCGACACATTGAACCATTTTACCCAAAGTGTAACATACTCCACATTATATATATATATATATATATATATATATATATATATATATATATATATATATATATATATATATATATATTCACACAAGAAGAAATATGACTCATCCTCTCTTCGGTAAAATAACCAAAAACATACTTATATTTATTATGATGCATTAAAATTCTTCTTCTCCTATTTTGTTTTTTTTTCAACTTTCACAACATTTGTTTTTCTAGGATCATCTTGAATATCAATTATAAGAGAAAAATTTGATGACTATATTTTTGTTTAATATCTCTTGTATATAATTTTTCTTTTTTAAATGAACCAATTTATTATCATGTCTTTCTTTTTATTTGTTGATCAAAGAACATTTTTTAAATTAATTATTTTTTCCATAAACCATGCATTTAACATGTTTTCATTAAAAATAAATATAATTTATTTTTTATTAATTTGTTACATTTGTCATAGTTTTAGCATAAAAAAATCCATGCATATATCTACAATGCATCTTTTTTTTATAGTCAAATTGATGGAAACAAAGGCCCAAATTAATGTAACTAAGTTTCATTTTTCTCGAAAGACCAAATTTTCTTTGTGTAGTTACTTGTGGAACGTTACAAATGAAAATTTTGAATTCAACAAATTATTTGTTGCAGAAATTCAATTTCGCTAAATTAAAGACCAACGAAATAAAGAATTAAATACAAATAAGTGTTGGATCACTCAAAATAGGAAAGAAGTGGATTATTTCCTCCAAATCAATCTAAAAAATTTCTCGTCATAGCAATCCAGTTTTACAATCTTTAATCTAAGAAACATTTAATTTTATTGTAATTAATTTCAAGTTTAATTTCTCTTATTCAATCCCCTATAAATAGAGGTCTTATGAGAACACAAAGTCACAATCTCTTGCTCTAAGACAAGTTGTTGTTTTGTCTCGTCCTTATTTTTTTTGTTCTCGGGTTTTAGTTTAACTTTTAGTTAAGCGAGTTTATACATTAAACTTCTAATTTGTTCTCTTTTATTTAATTTGTAATTTCTATTAAATTTTCTTGTTTATATTGTTCTCTTTACTTATTCGTTTCGTACTCATTCTAATTTTTGTTATTATATTGTTTAGAATTATTTTATTCTAATACTTGCTTAATTTTCATTTTCAATTTATCTCGTTTTTGGATTTCAATTACAAATCTACTATTAATTCTCACACAATTTCTCTCACGCACAAATTTTATTTTAAATTTATTTACTACACTATTTTATTTAAAAGTTATTTTTTTATTTTGTGCTTTATTCTGACAATTTTTTAATTTAATTAAAAACATTTTATTTTAATTTCATAAATTTTAGATATTTAAATTATGCTTCAATTTAATTTTAATTATCATTATTATTTTGCTGCAATTTAATTTTAACTTTTTTGTTATCTAGCTTCAATTTCTTTTTCACTCTTTTGTTTTATTATCATCAAACCTCATTTATTGTTTTTAGATAAAATGATATGGTAATGAGTATGTTCCTATAATTGTGTTCTTGTGAGGGTCGACACGCATTAACTATACTGCATTAGTTTAACAACTATTTTTTTTATCAGTATTTTGTGTGACTGAAATACTATCGTAACTAGCAAGTAAAAACTTTTTAATTTAGAACATTCTTTCAATTATGATTTGATCACAATCACTTAGTTCTTAATTACAAACATTGATTATTCAATATTAATACAATGTCAACTTTTATAAGAGATCTTTCATATATCAACTTGATTTTCAATATAAGTTCCAATATTCAAAGTAAAGTGCGAGAAAGATAAATATGCAAAGAAAGTAAATTGTAGGAAATCAAATGTGTGATGAAGATAAATTACAAGAAAAGTGAAAATCTAGGTCATTACCAATGATAAAATAGATACTCGATAAAGAAATCCAACAAAAGTGGTGACCCAAATTGCAAAAAACTCCATTGAAATAGTCTTTCCTTGTCCACAACGTGTTTTCATAATGCATGTGTCTTCCCAACAATTTGCCATCCTTAGTACTCTTCTTTCAACCTATTTATATGTTATTTTGTGTAACCACTAAGAGAGAAAAATAAAATTTAAAAATAAAATAAAATATAAACGAGTTTCCCTTTCTATAACCATTTTTCTCCTTTCTTGAGTAGTATCACTAACACGTAGTACATGTAATTGTCCATGTCACGCATGTAAGTTAATTTGTAGTTTTCCTACATTCTTAATTCATTCTAGAAAACTACTCTACATAATCTTTAGACTATTGGTTTTTACAATATAACATACATGAATACATGAATCATAATAAGAAGATTAACCTTGATTCATGAGAGTCTATTCTTTAACTCCAATCTCCTTTTCCCAATTTATCTTTTTACCTTTATTTCTCTTTTCACGCTTTCCTGATGGTTTATCGTGAAAAAACTTTATGACCAGAGACAGAACCCTAATCCCTTTTATTAACTAACGTCCATCAAGTTGGTTACCGTAAATTTTTATTTTATTTTATATTTATTTTATTCTGACTTCCCATAATAACCAATAGGTCCTTGTATTTTATTAAATCACATTTGGACCCATCATTACATTTCACATAATGGAATGAATTAATTAAATTAATTCTAAAATTATCCCACTTGACTCATGTGATGTCATACAATTTCGTGATTTAATACTTAATTCATAATGCGCATTAAAAGATCTTACATAAATTGGTTCTATCATTATTCATAATTAAAAATACAGTTATAACAAGAGTCATGACGGTTACATGTCATTCAATTGACACGCTTCCTTCCATGTACCACTATATTATCTCTTTCTTCTTAATATGACTTTATAATGAGAAGGTCATAATGGGTACAAATATAATATCATCTCAATAATAATAACATAATTTGTTTTATTCATCATAATTTGCATGCATATAAATAAAGAACAAAACATAAGTTTCAGAAACTTATAGATTAAATATGATAGAGTGTCACATAAGCATTAATAATAACATTAACATTCAACATTCACTACTAGTAAACATAATATCCATATTCACTATATGGCCAGCAAACAACTTGGGCGATAATCCCTTTGTTAAAGGATCAACAATCATAAGATCAGTGATAATATGTTCTATTGACACTCCCCGTTTCTGAACTTCTTCTTTAACGACAAAGTATTTCAATTCCATATGCTTAGCACCTTTGGAATACTTGTCATTCTTAGAAAAGAATATTGTTACGGAATTATCACAATAAATTTTCAGCGGCTTGACAATGTTGTCTACTACTCCAAGTCCTAAAATAAAAATCCGCAACCAATTAGCTTGAACTGTGGCCTCAAAACATGCCACAAATTCAGCTTCCATGGTGGATGCAACAATGACAAAATGTTTCACACTTTCCCATGAAATCGCTCCTCCAGCTAAAAGATACACAAAACCAAATGTAGACTTTCGTGTATCCATACAACCAAGCAAAATCGAATCAGTATATCCAA